TTTAACCCACAAATACACAACAGCATTCCATGATTTCCCAGATGTATTTATCATGCAGCAATTAAGGGTCCATCACTTGCAATTACTCTCTCTGACAGCACTCTGGGCATGTAAGTGTATTTCAAAGCAGAACAAAACCCCCAAACAATAGAAAAATCATATTTAAGGACCCCTTTTGCGGCCAGAGCAGAGCAAGTTAATGTGTGTATCTTCTTGTTTAAATTTAAATCTACTGCTGAAGTACTGCATTGATGCTCAGCATGACCCAGTACAGCAGACATCCTCAATCTATACTTAATCTCTCAGTTCTCTTTGTAGAACTTGAGCTTACAAAAACATGTAGAACAGCAGAAGCCTGAGCAATTTAAAAGCGCAAAGATCGTTCAAAACAGTATTCCTGCAGTATCTGAACAGGCCAAGCATCTGCATCTCTGTATGCATCCCTATAGGGTCTTTCACTTCTAGATAATTGCTAAACACTGCTGTAGGCCTCAGAACATATTTTGCTGGAAAAGCTTCCCATAACAAAGCAAAGTATATACTATCAAAGAATGCATTCCCTCATCATATCCCAGGGGTTTAAATATTTATCTCTAAATGGCTGGGGAAGGTTGAGATATGAAGATATTAAGTTGCTCCTCAAAGTTATACCTGAAGCCAAACTAAATCCTGTGGCTTCAAGATCTGGCTTTGCATTTTCGATATGAGACAGTGCAAGGCAGAGACGCAGTTGCAGCACAAGCTGCCTGGCCCTTGCCTGGTTTTGTCAAGGCAATTACTGTAGCACAAGTACCAAGCTTAATAGGTACTTATCCTTACAACTGCCACAGGCATTGCAGTGCTGCATTTGCTCCTGCCAAAACTTCAGTTTGCTAGGAGAGGCAAGGCTAGCCCAACACAGCTGGCTTTAGGTCCATGCCTGCCTCCAATTTCCTTCCAGGCAACACACAAACATCAGCTAATTCAGCATATACCATCAGAGCCTGGTTACAGACTACTAAGTGTTCATATTTGGTTAGGGACATAGAAGATCCTAAGAGAGGATGCTTTTGGGGTGATATTCAGGTCTGAAGTCAATCAAGCCCTAACTCACTTCCCACAATGTTGGCACTGCTTAGCTCCCTTGATCATAAATAAGATGGTTTCACCTCCATTCAAGTCCTTCCACCTACTGTTCCCAGTCCTTAGTCATTGCCTCCTCAGCAGCCCCCTTAAACCATCTGTTCTCCAGAAGTCAGAGGTGCCTTGTTTTCTCCATGAAGAGCAATGCAGCTGTCCCAGCAGGGCTGAGCAGCACAGTGCCTGGGATCAGACAAGAACACAAGGCACAGACATTTATGCAGCCATCTGAACACAGCCCAGTGCTTTCAGTTTCTCCTGTTTGGATTTGAAGAAGTATTACAGTTATCTGTGCTTTACAAAGATTTGTGTAACAGTGCTCCAAGATCTTAGGATTTAAAAAACCCCACACTTATATTTGATATTTTTACATAGCAAAATAAGACTGGCATGAACATGAACGATTTTACAAACAGCTTTGTAAACCCCCCTTCCTTATTGGTCCTTTGGGCTCTCTCAAGTCAAATTAGAACATGCTTTGTTCTTTTTATCTGAGCAATTTCGCTGGTACTCTAAGGCCTTCTAATTTAAGAAAGGTGGCAGCAAGGAAGTAACACCACCACAAGAATGGGCTAAATGACCCCTGAGGTTACTTCCAACCTGAGTTATTCTACGAGCCCAAAACCACACCAACAGGAAATGCCTGGAGCTGACCCGACTAACCTTCCTTCCAGTTCTGAGGCCCAGGATAAACCAGTCTACAAAGAGATGTGTCACCTGTGTGGCTTCTACATGCCTTCTCTCATCTCCTTCAATGATTTTAACACTATCAGCTGGTATCCTAGTCACCATGCTGAGTCTCCGGCAGCAAAAGCACACATAGCAGGCACACTGACATCTGGTATTATAAATACAGGCTCTGCACTGTTGGATAATCTGTTAACAGCAGAGTAAGTGACACGGGAAGAGTAATTAGCAGCAACTAGTAAGCCATCACATTCGGGAAGAAAACAAAATATTTGTTTGGTAAGACATGTAACTAAATATTGATTGCAATCAGCATCACTTCTCTGTGCTTCAAGGTTTCCAGCATGCGTGGGATTCGTCGCTACCGCAAGGTGCCAACAGCAGCCCTAGACTTCAGCCCTGCATAGCCACAGGCTAGGTCTGGCAGCCAGGGCAAGCGTGCTGCCCTGCAACGTGAACATGCTGTGATAATCTGAAAGGAATCCTGCAGGTACAGAGCAGGGAAACCAGCCCTGGCAGGGTCTCCAGCCCCACTGCTGAAGTGTCCCCATCAAGCACATCCGTCAGTACCAACTGTATCAGCATTTGTTCTTGCACAGATTTCCATCCACTCCGAGAGAAACTCATCAGTGCTCACATTCACTGTGCAGCGAGCAGCTGCCGAGCAATAGCTGCACCACCATCCTGGTATCAAGCTGGAGCAGTGACATATGTCATGTCCACACTACAGCAATAATTGTATTTGTACACAGTAGGTCTACACACAATTTATGCTTGTTCAGACAAGAAAACAGCCCCTATCACAATTATATTGAGGAAACATGCTTATTCTGGATAGAATTCCATAGCTTCTTATCATGGTTTTCAATACCCACACAAAAAGAAAAGAGACTGTACATTAAAGCAGGGCCCCAACATCATTTTACGAGGATTGGGTTTTGCAGCATATACACATACATTCTGTGGTAAGATATCTCACGTTACCAAGTCTCTAAACTAGACAGCACTCAAGGGTATCAAATGGAGAAAGACCTCTTCCCTTTGACAGCTTTTCCATTTCCACTCCAATTATTTCCTCTAAATGCTTTTCTACAGGCAGGTCTCTCAGCTTCTGCTCAGGGGACCCTTCATTATTTCATTTTCTAAAAGCAATGGCACTATAGCTTGCTGTTAGAAAGACAACTGATGGGACACAGTGAGGTCACAAGTTCTCCCGGGACAGGGGTCATCAGAAAGAGATAGAAAACAATTTAATTCATTTGCTCTCCACCCAGCAGATAAAATCCCCAGTTTTCAATTGCTGCCAGTGGAGACACACCAAGGATTAATATACCCCCTTTTGTTTGCTCAGTCTAAAAGAGAGGAGCAGTGTGCCCCGATACACTGACTGTCCTTCCAGAAACCCTCCTCTGGCCCAACAGCCATACATTATATATTACGCCACTGCAGCACTGACTGCACAGATCCTCTCAAAAGGATTTACGACATTAGGCTGCCAGTACTTAGAAAGCGCAAAAACAGCAGAGCCAACAGGTGAACCTGTTTTGCTCACACATTTCAGGAGTCCTATTTTCCCTTTCTTCTTAAAAAGCTAGAGCACAGCAAGTTCTTCACTTTGGTGCTAGGAATCATTATTTTCTTCCTGTATCTACGGACCAGCAAGTGGATCCTGGTCCATGACTTGAGGCTCAGTAAAATGTGTTCCTCCAATGTCCTTCCCTTGGCATGATTCCCGGCATCCCTGGGGGATTCCTGGGCTTTTGGAAGTTAGCTAGAAAGGATCCCAAAAACTCTTTGAATGTGCATCTATAGCAAAGAAAAAAAATAATCTTATGCCAACTATGCTTTCTTTGTACCAGATACAACCCCAGTGCCTTCTTCCTAATACACACAGCACACCCTGCACTCGCTGCCCAAGGCTACCCTTGCACAAGCCCAGAATTTGGGGCTAGACGCAGCTAAACAAACAATTCATACACACCGCAGACCCTTCCGACAGTAGAACAGCTTTATAAGCCATCCGGCAGCAAACAGCTTAAACTAAATAGTGGGGGTGGGGGAATGACATCCAGTAGATGTCACAAATGCAGTTTGCTGAAAGAGGAAAAACCCACACAAGCATCTGACCAGGTATCGCTGCTTTTTAAAGACAAGTCACCAGCAACTTGCATGCTCCTCATAGCATAAAAAAAAAAAACCCTTGATAACCAAAACCTGTATATCACCCAATGCAATTAATTAACGAGGCCAGCTGAGGAACACCCCCAGCTCTCCAGGTGTTGTGTGTCTACCCTGGAGCAGATAACCAGGCAGCACGGTCTGCAGTTTACTCAAGTTGCAGATGATGAATGCGAAGGTCACATGAAGGGAAGGCATCGGTATTATTGCCTGTCACAAAATGGTAGCACCCGGGGATTTTGAGCATATAGGAGAGAGATAACCCCGTCCTTCCCACAGCCTCCCCGCAGCTCCCGACATGGCATCCGCTATGGAGGACAGCGAGGCAGCGCTGGGGGAGGGGGGAACGGAGCAGATTAAACTTAAATACCCCACACATATACACACACCAAAGACAATATCCATCCCCGGGAGCCCCGTGGAGGGGGGGGGACACCGGGAAGGGGAGGGGGCTGGTCGCCGCTGACACCTCAGTGTGTCCCCCCCGTTATGTAACAGCCGGGGTCGAAGATTGGGGGGGGGGGGGGGGGAG